GTGTGTGTGTGTGTGTGTGTGTGTGTGTGTGTGTGTGTGTGTGTGTGAGATCCGCCTGCTGCTGTTTTATATGGGAAAAAAGTGGCTGCTGGCTGAATGAATAAAGACCAAAACTGACATACAACACAAATATTTGGCAGAGTTGCACAGTGTTTGAATGCATTAATTATCATAAATATACAAGCTTGTGTTTTTTCTTGAAATATGTGGTTCTTACTGGTTAAAGAGACTTTTCGTTAATTCCGCTTATTCGTATTCTTGCAGAGAGTTATATGAAACCAGAAATAGCTGTTTTTACACTTTCGTTTTTAGTAGTTATTAATGAAACGTATAAATAACATAGTAATTAGTCATCTTTAAAGGTGTTGGTCACCTTTGGACGGAGCCATGCTAGCTGTTTCCCTCTGTTTACAGTCTTTGTGCTAAGCTAAGCTAATCAGCTAGCTCCAGCTTTATTTTATTTACCATACAAACATAAGAGTCGTATCAATCTTCTCATCCAACTCTCGGCAAGAAAGATCAGAAGCGTACTTTACAAAATAACCAACTGCTTCTTTAAGTTTATATGAACAAATCAAGCATTTAAAACACTTTAAAAACAATATCTTTGCCTACCTATCCACACACACCAGACACTTTCTCTGTATTAAGTAGCAGATGCGATCTTCTCCAGTGTACACTGTACACATTTAATATTTTTCGGAAGCGTAATAAATTTTTATGGAGCTTCACTGTTCTGCCAGAAAGAAAGAGGGAGAAGAAGAAAAAAAAGAATGGAGAGAAAAGAGTTGCAGGGATGAGGTTGTGCATGAGAGTGTGCCTGGCCCGCCGCCCGCACCATGAAGACACAGAGACGAGGACCTCATCCTGCCCTCAACCATTTTTCCTTTCCCTCTTTTTTTTTTTTTTTTTTTTATAGTCAGTGGAGAACCTCCAGTTACACTCAGTTGCATGGGGAAGCATAACGTTTCCTCAAATGTTTTACAGCTGAATACAGTAAAAAAAATTAAAAAAAACAGGAAGAGAAAAGAGGCTACACAAGTGCAAGTACTTTTCAGAGAAAATGGGAGCAAAATGGGGAAAGGAGAAGAGGCCTCTTTTTTGGAGGATATGTTAACTTTTACATTTAGTGGTATTCAGGATATGAACATTGACCTTTTGGGCTGTTGTAAAACATACAACATGCTTTAAAGACCCGTCAAACATATGAACTGACGTTTCATTGAAATAAATGGCAAGAAAATGGCAAGCAGGTCTCTTGCATCTGGAAACAGGATTTTTCTTGAAACAGTGTTCGTTGGCAGAACAAAAAGCCCCAAATTGTTCACCAATGCTTTTCTTTAAATCAATGAGCATACGGCGAGCTTCTACAGCTGTCTCAATTTTACCCAAGTCCCCGTTCTCTCATTAGGAGTAAAAAAAACATGTATTTTAATTGAGACGCAGCCAATTCAAGCAATCATGACTAAGCCATAAGCCTCAGGTCTATAAATCCACTCACTTGACTGCTTAAGCTCGCGGATCAGAAGGAAAAGGGAGATTGAGATAGAAAGATTTTTGTCCTCATGTGGAAACTGCACCCACCAGTAGGTCACCCTCTTCTGTCTTATCGCTGATTTGGCCCGCTGTCAATTTGTCAAATGTATTGTTTGTCATCCGACACCGGTATCTGTTCACAAAAAGGTTAAAGGGTCACCAAATGAAGGAATTTTGTGATCGCACAGATTGGACAGTAAAGCCTCAGAACTCCTTTCTTTTGAGCACTAAGCTGAAACTGAGAAATTAAGTTTTTGTTCCGTGGTCCAGGCAATTTTCACATCCCCGCGTATCCCGCCGAGCACTACTAGCTACTTATTATAAAAAAATAAAGGGAGAAATTATTTTTATCCGCAGATTGGAGGAGTGGAATCACAACGAGGGAGAAAGCGAGCCAATTAAGGAAGTTCAGTCCGGAGTTTCCTGATTAGCAGCTCTTTGAGTCATTTGATACGGAGGGTGGTGAAACTTCCTGAAACCAGCAGACGAGAGTGAGAATCATGGGACAGACAGGGAAAGGTGGCTCGAGGGACACTGGGTCAAATGTCAAGGGATGTCGAGCAGACAGACGGGCCGGGCCGGGCCGGGTCGGACCGGGCCCGGCCGGGTGCCAGACAGAAACAGGAAAATCTGAATTTGACATCGACGCAGTAAACACAACACTTTCAGCCAAAGCGACTACGTGACGATATCACACTCCCTCAGAGAACATCACAAGATTAATGAAACGAGTGTGTCTCGTGTGAGTCTGGGTTCACAGCAGAAGGGAAGGGCGTCCCTGTCTGTCTGTCCATCCGTCCGCTGTGTCCATCTGTCTTGCTCTCCAGCCACACAGGGAAACCCCCCCCCCCCAGACTGGAAGAGGGCAGACAGCTTGACGAATGGAGAGGACGACGGGTTCGAGGGAGAGAGAGAGAGAGAGAGAGAGAGAGAGAGAGAGAGAGAGAGAGAGAGAGAGGGGGCCACACCTTAACTCCCCCCCTCTGTTCAAAGCAACCCGCTTTTTTTGTTATCACATGACTGTCATCACAATTAGGACCCAAAGACATCACAGAGCCTGCAAAAAAAAAATGACAGGGTGATAAGTCTGCAGACTGTCAGGGGAGCTGAAGCGCCTGTTTTGCAAGCCCTATATACTCTTTTGAAAGACAGGCGTGAGGAAAGAGACGCTTCCCCCTTTTTTTTCCTGGACCTGTGCAGGTTCACAGCGAGTTCAGGCTGCCACACGCACGCAGGGTGAGAACTGTGCCGGCACGCTATTTGGCAGCTCTGACACCAGCCTGTAGATGACATTGGAAAAATAAGCAATGTGATATGACTGACTGGAAGCGGCTTCGTAGACCCTATACCTTTAGATACAGACAGTTTATAGCTTTAATAAAAGCCTTTACAATCTGTTCAGCTAGCCTGATAACTGATAACAGATAATCAGGAGCAGTCAATCCACAGCGTGTATTTTTACGGCCTTTCGTATTGTTGTATTAGAATCAGATTGTAGGCTTTCACAAGCACAAGGACCCATAAATCCATTAGGGTTATCAGCAGAAACAACAAGCACGGACAGATACAAAAAGCAACAAAAGAAAACAAGCATGTTTTTCTCCGTCACTCTGCAACTCTAGCACTTTTCAAATCATCCTGCCGAGTGTATCGCACACGGCAGATTTCACTCTCGTTCTCACCGGAGGGAAGCCTTTTCATCAGAGTGCAGGAGTGGGCTGTCTCGGCTCTGTTTCTCGTCGCCATCTTTTTTAAATCAGCCTCAGGGTATAGTTGATCCCGAGCTCTGAAAATATGTTGAATGCATTAACGTTATGGAAAGTATAAAAAGCAGCTTGTTTCCTTTACTTCTGCTTGCGATCTGTCCCTTGAAAAATGTGACATTATTTTGGGGAATTGAAAAATGCCAGCAGGCTTAAATGAAGTGAAATCTCATATTTGTGGGCAACATATATTCTGACTTAATAATAATATTGTATTACAACTATGGTAATTATACACTATGATCCATACGAAACAAAATGTCAGGGAGTGACCAGCAATTATGAAGTACTTTGATACTTGACCTTATAAGTTATTATAAAATGCATTCTAAAATGTGCTATGATTATTGGTATAAAGCATTATGAATATTTATGCTATAATATTCATTTATACGACCAGAGGGGACTAGTTTATGGTAAGCTAGGCTAACAATGTCCCGTCTCCAGCTCTGGAGACACATACTGATATTCATTTTCTCGTCTTACTCTCACAAATAAAGCAAATAAGCGAGCTAATAAAAACTTAATTCTGATAGTT